TGAAATCTGACTACCTACTAAAATGTATTACTGGTAGTAAATGTCAGCCAAACAAATGATGTAATAAACATTGTCAAGTCTTTGACCCACCTCTGGATCTTGCCACAGATGAGCTGTTCAGTGATTATGAGTCTTCCACTAACAGGAATTAGATTTGCATTGCTAATTAGCGGTTTGTTTGCTTGGTGCAGTCTTGATGACTTTGATGTGACGATGAGTGTAGTTTTCAATTACTTTATAAAATTAACCTTTTCACTTAGTGCAGGCAAGAAAGAGTGGCTCAGGGAAATGTGTGTATCAACTTGTGAGGTAATTATACTGTAATGATCCAGTGCCCATTCTAGTCTCCCACAGCATTTACATTCTTTGTTTCTCCAGCACAGCTCTTGGAACATGTTTTCACTCCTCACCAGCCCCATCATTGCTTGTTCGCCTCTGTTCAAATTGGAAACATGTTGCTGAATACGTATGAGAGGGAATCTAGAACATGTTATTCATGTAACATTAGCTGCATACAGTGAATATGTTCCGTGTTCTCATATTCATGTCACTTGCTCAACACGTGTGTTTGGATCCACATGCACATTCTGCTTTCCATGTGGAAAGGTGTTTAAGCTGCTGCTTTTTTAAGTCCTTGATGGAGCTCAGAAAATGTGACACTTGAATCCAATAAACTTGAGTCATTTGTCAGTTTTCAACCTAAGAGGCCTTCAGGGAGCGACAATTTACCCTTTCATAAAGTATGACGCAATGGAAATTAAACAGGATAATGACACATCTACTTTGACAGCTTGTTTACTGTAAGAAATCCGGTTGTGTTTTTGAGTTTCAGCACAAGTTAACTAGCAGTCAGCTCTGTGAAAAGTTTTCAAACAGCAACTGGTTTATATTGAGGGAAACTAAGGTATATGTACTTTGATGTCTGAGCCTCCAAAGGGGCGTGGGAATATTCTCCACAGGCACAAAGCGAAGATGCTCCTTGGGGAATATCATTGGCTGCTTAATTGAACCTTTCTATTTATGATACCAGCCTCACCTCTCTGGATTTACTGAGCAGCAGCTCAGGAAACAAGTGCAGCCTCCCAGGGGGAACAACAGAGGAAGGCGGGATTCATTACACAGTGCAGGCATGAAGAAATACCCAACTCGTCTCTGCCTATTGTATTATTCAGTGATGTAAAACCTGTGGGTTTATAAGGGCATTACACTAAGATTACAAAGAAATCCCTGCTCCCTTCATGAGGGCAGCAAGGAAGATTAAAAAAACATTGATGCAGATTAACAGACTGTCAGATCTCACACAGCTGTGTCCAACCAACTGAAGAGTAACTTGTGTACGCAGGTCACTGAGCAGCACCTGAACAGCTTCACACAGTAAACCTCTCATTTACAAAAGAGTGTTCTTCTAACTTATATATTTTATTTTGACTCATTGCATTTATATACGTATGCACATTTCTCTTTACGTTGCTTCCTAATGTGAAATGGTAGTAAACATATCTATGGACATAAAGATCATATATTTACCTGAGGGCTGGTGATTTGATCTCAAGATGAAGAAGGTCATTGAAGACAAGATTGCCCTTAACGACAACTCTTGTGTAAGTGACGTGACAGACGGAGCACCACCTGAAAGACGCTGCATAAATAAAGGATAAAAGGCAAACCTGTTGTGTTAAACAATTTAAAGAGACGCTGCATAAATAAAGGATAAAAGCCAAACCTGTTGTGTTAAACAATTTAAATATAAAAAAAAGTGCATTGACCTGCAGTGTAGGACAGGTTCACGTGTCTTTTAGTATTTCAAATGATTTATTTCTTAATTTTCTTCTTCCATCAGTAATTACCTACACATTCTGTTACTGTTTTGACTTTGTCTGGCTGAAGTAGCTCCACAGTAGTAGTAAGAGATATGAGAGAGGGATGCTGGAGATGCTGGTTTCATACCTTATTCTATTTGTGGATGTTTACATTTGGTGTATTTACAAAGGCTCATTTCAGAACCATTTTAATTACTGTGCATGGCCATAGAACCAAGATCAGGACCAGGAAGGTCAGAAAACTTAGGCAAGGTCAGAAATAAAAAAAAAAACCTTCTCTGAAACAAATACAGAATCCAATGTTTTTACTCAGACTTACTAACAATAAAGTATTGTTGTGTAGATATCAGACTAAGATCGTGTATGTTTTAAAAGGAGAGGGGAAATGACACTACATAAGTGGGTGTAGGTTTATTTAGGAAACTAGAGGAGAGTGGGAAGCACCACCTACCATTTATAACGCATAGTCAGCACTGCCAGACCTTTCAACAGCTCAATTACTTTCCCGGAAACTGCAGCTGTTAATGTTGTTTTCCTTTTGGATGATTCCGTTTACTTGTACGTGTAGCATTCCAACACAGAGATACAAATCATAAACTGTTGAAAATAATTGCTTTTAGCATATTTAAAAAATTGAAAAAAACGTTTGCCTTAAAGGCATTTTAATGTATGTCAGTACGTTGTTTAAAGGTATAGTGAAAAGTGGCATCTTTAGTTATACCCTCTATTTTACTATAATGGCCAAGAGAAAGAGAACTCCAACAATTTATGTTTTCTGCCACAAATTTATTAGGCTAGATAACAGAAGTACTGTAGTATTGTATGTAACAAACTGTTTCGATGAACTATTCTATGTATGTAAAAATGTAAAAATACATTTTACAACTTTTATGAAATATAGATAGACTTCTATGTGCAATAGTCTGAGTTGGGGGGTTTATGTGTTTTTCCTGGACAGCTGTTTCCATGATAGACCTCTCAAGCTTTTTATCTCAACGTCAAGCTCACTTAGTCACCTAATCTGCTCTAATACCCACTGAATTAGGAATAAGCACTAAGATGGATGGATAGCCTCCATTACTTTTGTGAAAATGTTAGATTTGCTATAAATTTCCCGAAAAGACATATCACTTAATTAATGACTAGAAATAATATATTGTCAACTTTAGATTCTATTTAAGAGCAACATATTTTGATATTTTGGACTCTTGGCATACTTGGCCTAGTTAGATTTGGTATTACGTTACACAGTGAATGCAGAGCGTCGGAAACTTAAACCCACGAGTAAGCACTGGCATGCCACGCATCTCTGAGCTTTTGTCCGAAAAAGTAAAAATAGCATAACTGCACATGTATGAATTAATATAACAGACAGGATTGCACATGGAAGCAGCCATCCTCTTATCTCTCTGTGTACGCAGATGAATCAGTCACTTTCCATTTGAAAATGACTGACATCCATACACACATTTAGCTACAGTGTCACAGATGAAGCCTCGTCATTTCATTATGTCAGAACTCCACGCCTCTGTGTAACATACACATGACAGGGTGTGACTGGTTGAGATTTTTGACATTTTCCCGTTATCTTTGAGAGACGAGAAGTGTGAATGCTGTTCATTACTTTTTAGCAGGTTATCAGTGGAGATTACAGTTTTAATGTTGAAAAACTTCTGTTGTCTAAGAGTTGAAATTAAATCTCATCGGCAGTTTATTATTCTCTCTTATTTTTATGCAGTTACACACTTTTTTAGTTGTATTTTTTAAGACTCTTGTAAATGTCTTCTGTATTTAGGGAGTTAAAAATGGAGTTGGAATACCTTGCTGTGTTTAGTTCACTAGTTCGGAATTATTCATTATGAAAATCTCATATTCCGTCTCAGTCAATGCGTAAAATATACTTTGTGACAGACAAGCCTGGAAAGTTACTGTTACCTTTTTAAATATACATGAGTGATTATGTTGTGTTTTTGTTAGCTACAAAGTAGTAACTACAACTTTGCATTTATTTGAAATAATAGATGAATTCTTGTTCAACAGATTTACTATTTTATGCCTCTGAAAGATAAATATCAATAATCCCAATATGGTGTTCAAGGTCACGTAGTGGTTTTTAGCACCAAACTTTTCGTTAAGCTTCCTGGGGGAAGATCTCTTGTTGTCAACTGTAATTGCAGTACAGTCTTTACAGTATTATTACTGTCAGCCGTGGCTAAAAACAAGCTCTTGTCTTGTAGCAGTCTCCAGGAAGACTTTGGGTTAATCAGCTTACCCCGTGACCCCAGACACTGCTGTGGGTCCAGAAGACACATGGTGGATGTCAGCTTATCCTGTTTATTTGAATTAGAGGCCCTGCTTTACTTATTAGTTGAGGAGTACACCTAACTAAACAAAGTGTACGTGAATCCTGAAGAGCTGTTTAATTCATCATTATATTAATGAATTAAGTGAAATAAAGTGAAACTAAGTGAATGGTCCGTCAGTAAAGGTTCATGTAAAAGTGACTATGTGTGGGTTTTAGGTGAAGCAGAGACTGTCGGCATGCAGCCACACTGCTGTAGTTCAGTCCATGTGTGATTTGTTCCATCAGTTTCACATGGGCGACAGCTAGGGCTTGAGTGATTGAGAGAGGTGGGGGTTCTACTACTGCTAAGATGGGCTGAAAAGGGCACATGCCTCGCTGCGCAATTATGTACTGTGCATGGAAACGGCACCCCCACCATCATCACATGCACATATACAATGGTTGAACAAACACATATTAAAGATGGACACAGGAAAAACAAAGCTGTGGTCAGTGAATCACACGTCTCTGAATTGTGTTTGTGTAATGAAAAACGAGGGAACAGTTACAGGGTGAATACTAATACAACTCAATTTACAGGAAAGTTAGTGCATACAACAATGTGAATAAAACTAAAATGTATTGTTAATGTACTTATTTAGTCAAAAGAACAGACACAAAATAAAGGTGAGGAATGCTTAAAGAGGGAATATGTTTAATTACATGTTTTTACAGTGTCCTTCATCCAGAGTAACCAAGGCTGAACCCCATTACCTAAAAACAGATTTTAGTTTTCATTGTGGGTCATTGTTGTGCATTAGGTTTAAAGTCATGACAGAATCATGACAATATTGTGCTGCAGGTCATGTGTAATGGCTTCTTGTTTTGTTTTTCAGGCTACTTCAGTGTGTTAGCGGTGGTGCTGAGGACGGACAATGACTCACCATGGACAAATGAGTTTGACAGTAGGAGCTCTCACTGAATAAACTTTAAACCTTTTTTTTTTTTTAATATAGAGTTGAAATAACATTCATCTTTTCCCTGTCCTGCAGAAATTGAGTTATCGTGTTTGATTGAGTCAATTTCTACAAGCAATCCTAGAATTGAATGGAAGAAGATTACAAGCGGTGGACCAAGTTATGTGTATTTTGACAAGAAGATTTCAGGTAATGTATGAGATTACAGTACATGGCATTTAATTGAAAATGTTGGTCCTTTTTAGAAATCTTAAAGTAAAATCTTTAAATTATTTATTTATTTGTACTCAGTATGTACACATTAAAATGATAATGATAATAAAATGATGAGTAAATAAATATAGAATAGACAAGAGCTCGGCTTTGTTCGGTACTGTGTTGAAGACAGCCATTACAATTATAATTATAAGTTACAATTATAAGTTAAGAAATAAAAATACAACAAGCTCATTTATATTTGTAAAACCAAAAATATGACATATAACATTGTCTATCAGTGAAAGGGGTAAAATAACAGTTTAGTATTTTATTTTGTTACCTTACTGTAAATGTGACCTAATGAATCTAATATTGAAATATTAATGTTGAAATGAAGAGTAGAAACAAAAAATGATAAAGCAAAAAAAAAAAATGTAAGAACCTCATTTATAGGCCTTAAATGTAATGTTAAAATTAATTTAGAGTGGAGAGAAAAAAAATAAGTATCATGAGCTCTGATTACTGTAACCTCCTGGAGAGACAGTTACGATCAATTTACAATTTGTACAATTTGGTAAGTTTGATGTGGTGTTAAATTTTAGTGTAAGCTTTCAGAGAATATCATAATATATTTTAAAGCACATTAGCACATGGTGCTTCATCCTAGAAGAGGAACCATCAGGCAGTGTGTCCTGATGGTTTTTATATTAATGTTGTTGCAGAATTGACTTTTCTCACTGCACTAATTTGTGAATTCATCTGATACCACTGCAGTATTAACTCCTGTGCCCATAATATTGACTGAGCTTCCCTGATGCACTGGCTGATGTTTGTTTTCCCAAAATACCAGCATTGAGTCAGTTGGTCTCTCTTTTTAGTTTTACTTTTATATCTTTGTCTCTATGAAGTTGGAGCAGTACAAAGGGAAAGTACACAGCCACACTTTCTGTCTCACATGAACGCTTGTAAAATGCTTGCGAAGCATTTCGAATGTATGGGCTGTTGTAAATCTTAGCGGCATCACAAAGGCTACGTAGTGTATTTTGCAAGGTAAATGCTTTCTGACATGGTTTTCCATTTGTCTCTCCTGACAGGTGACCTAGAGAACAGAGCGCTCTTCAGAGAACCAGCCACGTTACTTATAACCAATGCCACAAGATCGGACACAGCAAAATATCGCTGTGAGGTGACCGCAGCTGACGACCAGAAGTCATTTGACGAGATTGTGATCGACCTTGTTGTAAGAGGTACTTAAACGTCATCAATAAGTGGTTGTCAGTCAATCGTCATAGATGAATGTGTGCGGACGTGTTTTATGCCAGGGTCACATGTAGAGCGAACCATATAAGACAAATGTATTAAAATATCATCAGAGTTCAAGCAGAAAACAGTCTATTATTGTGCCTTGACACGTTCGATGTTGTAAGATGAGACGGTGCTGCAGGTTGCACCAGCCCGCTGGCATACACATGAGGATGCGTTATGACCGGACCTGCCCAGCTGCAAAGGCGTGTTCTGGGCTATAAGAGGAAACCTCTGAAACTGCATCTGCTCTGAAATGCACGTCTAAAGAAAGCTAGCGCGTGTTTTGGTGGGGTTTTTTGGCACAGGCCTAAAATCACATGCCCGTCTGGTCATGTCAATGCGGTCAGTCCAGTGAACCATGAGAGGTCGGCGTGACATTGTGTTAAGTCAATCAAAGGGGCCAGCAGCATTAGAAAACAATGCCGTCGGTTGTTTTATCTCTGCGTGCCCGCCACCATTTTTATCCCAGCTGTAAAGCTCCACATCAGAACTCAGTGGCGTGACTGTGATCATCTGCTTTCTGTCGCTGCAGTGAAGCCGGTGGTGCCGAAATGCAGTGTCCCAAAATCTGTACCTTTCGGGAAGCCAGCTGAGCTCAGCTGTGTGGAGGATGAGGGTTTCCCCAAGTCACAGTACCAGTGGTTCAAGAATAAAGAAGAAATTCCTGATGATCCCAAGACCAGCCTCAAGTTCTTCAACTCTTCATACATTCTCAACGCAGAAAAAGGAACCCTGGTTAGTACGTGTACACATTTTTGCAGACATGCCTGAGTGGCAAGGGTGGGGTAGCCGGTATGGTGGCCTGACGCCCAGGGGTGGGGGTGGATATTTTGGGGAGACAGTTGATGGTGCGAAAAGGCCTCAGGCACACTCTGCTGCCCTCGTTTGCACATTCCTCCATTCTTGCTTATGTTCCAGTGCATGCTTTATTCTACTGTCATAACTGGTGATGGCCTCTTAGATGTAACACATCACAGAAAACGACCGTGATTTTTTATGGGAATCTGTATTAGCAGACACAACTGTAAAATAATAAGGATGCTTCTCAAATTATCTGGGATGTTATTTAGTTATTGCAGATGACTCCATTATCCCTTGCCCCTCCCAAAAATGTTCTTCAACATGAGTGGAGTGAACTTTTCATCATTAATTTCCATATGTATAAACTATAAGACTTTTTCAGTCAGAAAACATTATCAACTTCTGAAGTTTTGGTTTTGATTTATTGAGCTGAAAAATTAATAAACAAATGTTTTAGTTATTATTTTTATCTGAAGTGTTATTACATGGTAAAATAGGCAGGGTACTAACAGGAGAGTTTAAAAAATTAAAGTAATAACGCAGCATGTCTCAATGTAATTCCACAGGAAGCCAAAGAAGGAAATGACCCACAGTTTAATGTAGTTTTTAAATGGCTAATGTAACACAGCACCATTACCTCCTCTGGTATGTTCCCTTAAAGAATGACAGCAGTACCACTGGCTCTCTTTACTGTTGAACCACATAAGCTGCGCTGCACAGACTGTTTCTGTCCTCGACCACTTTCTGCTCACCTGTTCACTCCTATATTAGAGAGAAATGATCTGTCCAATTTAGCTTTATTTGTGTGTCATAGTAGTTTACACTTTATTACACTTTATCTCATTTATCATGAATAACACATGAGTTGTAAAAAATGTATGAAATATCAATATGAAAAATTATATTTAGAAATATGTATATATACAGTATATATAGATTTATATATAAATACATATATGTGTATATATATATAAATATATATCAATGATCACACATATATAAATATGTTCACAGTGTTACATATGAAATAGAAACAAAATTAATGTAATAAATAATTTATACATAAAAGTATGTATAAATTATATTATAACTAATAGTGAAAACAAAAATTAATAATTCAATTTTTTTGCATGTTGGAAATAGTTGTTTATACACATGTTTTTCATTTGCAGAAATTCACTGCAGTCAGGAAAGAAGACGCCGGAGAGTATTTCTGTCGGGCCAAGAACGATGCAGGATACGCTGAGTGTTTACCACAGACGATGGAAGTGTGTAAGTGTGTCACTGATTCAGTGTTGGGAGACTGTACTCCAGCTATGCCTACAAGCAGCAGGACTAGCAGATGTCAGCGTTTGATGTGTGAATTTTAACCTCTCCTCCACAGATGATGTTGATATGTTGGGGATCATAGTGGGAGTGCTGGTGGTGGTCGTAGTACTCCTGTGCATAACAGTGGGCATCTGCTGTGCCTACAAGAAAGGCTACTTCTCCAGTCAAAAACAGACAGGAAATAAGTAAGACACCCAGACATTATCTAATAAAAAAAAAGACACAGTCAAATGTAAACCTGCCCAGCCTCAGTCTGTCAACCACAAAACCATAAATTCTAAAATGTAAGTAAATGAATGTGCTCTGTGTCCATTAGTTACAAAGTTCCAGCCAAAGGAGATGGAGTGGACTACGTCAGGACAGAAGATGAGGTTTGTAGACAGCCATTAACAAGGTCAATGTGTCATTGGTACTGATGGAGAACATCACAAGACATTTATGATACTGTACAAAAGTCAATCCAGGTCATCGTGTCAAGTCTGGTCCGTCTGCAGTAATAGCTCTGTGTATCCATCAATTTATGTATCGTTACTCTAATACAGGGTTGATTATATTTGCACAGCATGTACTCATGTGTGGAAGCTACAACTTCATCTCAGATCCCCGTCTCTTGTCTTACCGGCCTCACTGAAAACAGGAGATTAAATAACTCCACAGTTAACAAACTGAGTAAAACAATTGTCAAATAAATGGTGGGGGACTGTAGGCTGATTTCAAGCGGACCCTCTAATGCATTAACTACAGATGGTAACAGCTCTAAATTTTGCACACACAACAAACGAGCCATCAGTGGATTCTACTTCAATTCTCACTCTTGTATCAACAGTTAGGAATGTCCTAGAAAAGCTGTCATAAAATGCAGAATGTGAACAGAAAAAAGGAGCAGCAAGTCACTTGATTAATGTTGCTCCTGTGTGTCTGCTCTCTCTCCGCAGGGTGATTTCCGACACAAGTCGTCGTTTGTGATCTGAGTAGAGAGACGATGAAGGGGGGCATTGTGCTGAGCGAGAGACATGACATGTGGCAGCGCTTTCCTCGCCGTCTGACCACGGAGCTGCCACAGTCCTGACTTTTTAGCTCTCAACATGACTCAAATCCAACAACTCAAGTTTGCCAAAGGTGACAAGATTTCACAGAACAACATGTAAAGCTGTTACACATGTACGGACTGCGGTGAATGTGTCAGGTCTCATCACCAACAGCCCAGTTATTCTACTAAATTATGGAGCTTTCACTTTACAGTTACTGCATGGTTTTCACGCCAACGAAAACGTGGAGGCGTCTCTCTTTCTCACTCTTCCTCTCTCTGTCTCTCTCTCTCTCTTCCTCTCTATCATGATGCATTTCTACTGTAAACTTTTAGCTTCAAACCATTTGTCGTTTGTATAACATTTCTTTTGTACTGTTGAAATTTGTCAGACTATTTTTGATGGAAAATATTTTAAAATGCCTATAGATAAAGGTTTACTTTTTTAAATATTTGTAAAATACTAACATGTGTTTTTTATTATTATTATTATTTGATTGTGGATTTTGAGAAAAAAAAAACATTGTAACACCTTAACCACTGCAACGAGCATTTACACATTTGCAGTCACATCAGTTGAAGACAAATGAAAAGACAAAAAAAAATGAAGTACAGTAGTCGTATTTGCATATCGAGATGTGGTTCTTGATCAGCAGTCTTACATATTTAATGTCTCGGCTGAGAACTTCCAGTGTGTTAGGCCACAGACTTCCATGTTGGTGTTGTAGATAGTCTTAGTGGGAGGTTTTGATGAGTGCCAGTCAAATGCTGTGAAACACTGTCCACAGTCAGTGCTGCGTTTTCTTCAGTTTAAGTGTCCTTCTATGCTTGCTGTTAATCCTGTATTTATTGAACCACAGTTACTGTCCTCTAGAGAATGCTCGGTATTAGACTACAATACCATTATTATGAGGCGATGGTTATCGTAATTATTATAATAGACAGAGTTTGTAAGTTAACCTTCCAGATCCAAAAAAAACTACAAATCTAATGATGAAATCAAATGTTTTTTTAATTTGATTTTAATAACAGGTGAAATAATGTGATATGGAACATGTCACTTTTACTGATGCTGTAACAAGTTGCTACATTACACATTACAACTGATATGTTCCCTCTGCCATCCTCACTGTTATTCCCAAAGGCAGAAATGGTTTGAACACTGCTGGTTCAGTTTCAGTATAAAAACAGAAACTTTTCAACAGAATCAACCCCAATGACTTTTAATGCTTTGTCACTGATGTCACCTTCTCATGTCATCAGTATAACAGCTCTGCTAAATACCTTGCTTGGATACAGAGCTTTTTTTTAGTTTGGATATTGATTCACCATGACATTTTAACCAGGATTATTTTCGAAGGTGCACTCAAGGTGTTAGATTTAAATTATATTTTCTAATTAGTTTCCATGAGCAGTGATGGTAAATACCACAAATACATGACTGTACATGTGAATTTGCTCAACGGGCCCATTTATTTGGTACATCAGGAGAGGTTCGTGTCAGATCAGTGCTTTTACGTTGGCCAACAGTTGTTGTATTACTGTATTTGATGACCACTGAAGGCTACTGTGTTTTCTACTATACGCATGGACAGTATTAGTGGATAATAGTCAGCCACAACATGAAATTTCACCACTCGATGTTGCTAAATCCTATACACTGTACATTCAAGTTATCACAATTAATGGTGCCAAAAACAGCAGAAGACACCGTTTGACTGATCATCTCTGACCTGAGCGTTTGCTGGTATCAGCAAACCTTTTTTTTGACTAACATTTTACTACTTGATTAGAGTAGACTTGGTTACATGTCTGATCATTGGTAAAGAGTACATGTTGTAGATAAAATGAAAAATAAATTTAGCTTCCACTGAGGTTCCTTCACCTTTTCTCAATCGTCAGCAAAGCTGGAGACAGAAGTGAAGAGACACATCAGCGGAGAACCGTACAGCAGGTGTCTGGAGGGTTAACGGTTGTGTTGATTGTATATAGATATTTTTTTCTCACTCAAGATAATGTAAAGTGGTGAAAATGTTAAAAAAAAAATCCTATTTGAGGCGATATGAAACTCTTTCCATTTGTAACGCTGAGAAAAAGTTGCATTTTATCATACAGAGCTGTGTTTTGTCATCTAAGGTGAAGGTGGAGGAGGTGAAAATGAAACTACTGTATTTTTCAAAACCATGTGTGGTCCTATTTGAACACTGTTCCCTGCAGTTAGCTAAAGGCTGCCTCAACATGATTGGTCAGTCAGGAACAGCAACCAGAAGACATTCACCAAAAACCTGTTGTAACCAGACATTTACAGTCAGGTCATTCCCTGTTGCATTTGCTTTTTCACACTACAGTGTCTGTGCTGGGATCATAGAGGTGGCACCCAACCAAATTCACCTGCTGTGCTGTTGTATTTTAGTGAACAACAAACATGAGACCTGAACTGTTGCTAGCCCCAGTGCTTACCCAGGATTTCAAATTAAAGTAGCCTGACTTCCAGGTATTTTCAGGTATCTCAATTATGAAAGGTTGAAGCTGACTGTATGATGTGACAGCACATTAGAATGATTAGCCTAAGATAAAATATGTCGACTCCTCATCCATCACCTACACTTCTCTGGCCATGTCCATGAAGTGACCATCCCATAGTCGTTAAATACATTATTTGATGAGAGACATTGGCAGGGTTTTATTAGATATCCTTTTGGTTCTGCAGCCAAAACATAGAGAGTATCCGTCTTTTATGTACAGTCTACAGTCACAGGGCAGGTTTGTGCTATAGTCGTCCAATTTCCCTCCCTTTGCCTCCTTTTAGCAGTTTCACAAAACCAAAACTCTGCTGTTCTACAATCTTCTCTCCACCTGTTTTGAATGTTTTTGTGTCAGCTGTGGTAAAATGTTAACTGAGTACCAGTCATGGTAGAGACGATCTGCCCAACATTTGCACATAGGAATATGTAAACACTGCTCAATCTTTGATTTAAAAATGATGTTGGACAAACACCTTTGTACCATTATACAAAAAAACCCAACAGTTAAGAAACGGATCATGTCCCAGGTACAGATAAGCCTTCATTCCTCTTAAGTGCCTTCTCTGTTTTCTCTCTCTCTCTTAAGGCTGTGCGTTGTGAAAATGCATATTTGACAAGTTTGGTGTTTAAGAGGAATGATGTCACCACAAAACTCCACCTCACTTCTTTACATATCTGCAGATTTGTAAATACTTTTTATGTTGTTTTTTTTTTTTTTTCATAGATATGAAAGTCAGCCATTGGACGTTGGAGTAGAAATAGAAATACAGTATATTAGTGCCTAAATATAGTGGGACTTATTTTTGGTAAACAAATGTGGTACTGTAATATTAGAGTTATAAAAAATACCAACAAAGCAGTAACTTTTTAACAACTACTGGTTTATAGTAACAGTGTGTATTTTTTCCCCCCATTTGTAAAACCAGTAATGCAGAACTATGATTTAGAAAGTAATTCACACAGCTGTATTGATTTATTCATTCAAGCCTTGTAAACCAGAAGTGATGTGCTGGGTCTGTTGTAGGTCAGCAGTGACTAAGATACTGATTATTTACGTCACACTGAGGTTGTTTTTAAAGTGTCCTGTGTTGGAGCATGTGTTAGCCCAAGCTAAGCTAACTCACTGTTGTCTTTCAGCTCGGTGATGTCATCACTCTTTTACTACACTGGTACTAGTAAATGTAAAAAACGATTTTCTAAATAATAATAATAGTACAGAATAAAGTCCCTGTGGGTTTTCTTTTTTTTTTTTCATTTTGTTTTTCTTTTTTGCTACCACTCAATTTGTGATTAATAAAACTCACTTCCTATGTTACTGGAAACACGTGTGTTTGTGTTTACTTCTTGGTGAGGATCTGCAGCCAATCATAACACCGCTAACATTTCTCAGCCATCCTCCAGTCTGACAGTGTTCGCAGTAATCCTGTTGAGTGTGGCGGTCCATCTGACTTCCCACCAACAGTTGATCCAAAGCCATAATCTATCAGTGGAGACATATTAGCCATTTTCGTTGCCTGCCCAGGAAAACAACTTTTTCTGGAAGTTGTGCCAAATGCCAGAGCATTCCTGGATGTGGAGCTTTTGAATTACTGAG